GGGTGAATGTTTGAACAGGTGACAATTTACATCCTGCATGCACAGGAGGTGGATACCCATGAAAGGTATTGGCCTTTTCCAGGTTGCTATAAGTGCCTCATGAAACGCCTGTGCACCCACCCCTCTGCAAACCGTGCTCATCCCTGCATTCCTCCAGCACTGACCAGGTCATGTAGACCTCCTCACCTCCCTGCCTGTCCCGGGCAGCCTGACATCAGGCCACTCACCCCGAGGCTGCCAGCCTGGTGCTGGTGGGGCTCCGGTTACAGCCCTATAAAGGGGGCCGGGCTGCAGCGCTGGGGGGAGCTGTGCCGGGCCCTCAGCAGCCGTGTGGCCATGGAGAGCAGTGCCTTTGCCCTGATCCTCACCCTGGCCCTGGCAGCACCTGTTGCCCCTGCAGAGAGGAAGGTATGGGGATGGGTGACAGTGGGGACAGGGTGCTGGCACCCTGCTAGACCCCCAAGATGCTGCTGGGGCTGCAGAGCTCAAGAGGGAGTCAGGGCCGGGCTGCTGGAGCTGGTGGGACCAGCACTATGCAGCACTGAGGGAAGCTGAGGTGAGGTTGGGAGAGAGGGACCACTCCTACAGGGATGACCCTCACTGTGGGAATCATCCAGAAACAGGCAAACAGAGCCATGTCCTAGAGAATTCCTGTTTTCCCACCAAGCTTGCAAGGAAAGCAGCGCACCTGCTGATTTAGCATGAGGAGGACCTGCTCTCCTTGCATCAAACCACACCAAGCAGCACCTGGGCTGAAGGCAGCCAGTGCTAAGGCATGGCACTCACACTGAGAGGGGACGATGCCAGTGGCACACCGGGTCTGTGGCATGCCACCCAGTGCTGCAGGCATTCCTGGGAACAGCTAGGGTGGTGGGCTGGGAGCAGGATGTCCCCTGCCTGCCCAGGCACCCCAACCCTCATGCTGTCCTTGCAGTGCCTCCTCTCCGGGTCATGGCAGAGCGACACCGGCTGCCGGATGGTCGTGTCCCCCCTCGGCAAGGACGGCAGATTCTCTGGGTCCTACCTGCCAGGATCTGCCACTGGTGACTCTGAAATCCTCACCTTGCCACTGGAGGGGTCCCAGCAAGATGCGGGGCTAGTCCCACAGCCCATCTTCTCCTTCACCGTGCACTGGCGGCTCCAAGGTAGGTGGGAAGGGGGCCGTCACCTGGTAGCAGGGATGCCAGCAGGACACAGAGCAATGGCCTTGTGTCTCAGTGCTTGACTCATGCAGCTTCAAATCCTTCCAGACTCAGAGACAGCCCAGACAACCGTCTTTCTGGGCCAGTGCTACGTGGGCAGCAATGGGGAGGAGATCCTGCACGCCCTGTGGCTCCAGCGAGAGGCAACCAACAGTCCTGCTGAGGACTGGAAAGCCACCTGGTGAGTGCTGGGTCCCAGCCACTGCTGTGCCAAGCTCTCCTGCTCCCCAGGCTGGAGAAGGGAGAAATACCCTGGGATGAAGCATGGCAGGACCAGGAGGGTTAAATGGGTTTGTCACTGGTGCCGAGCAGGGGATAAGGAGCATCCCTCTAACATCCCCCTGCATGCCAGAAGTGCCTCAGGGAGGGTGACCCCAGGATAGGGTCTGGCCACAGCAGGTCTCCCCACCCAGGAGGGTCTCCTTCGACTCTCAAGAGCAGGAGAAGAGGAAAAGGTGCCAGCACCTGGTGCAGCCTCGGCTACAGGCTGCTGGAGCCTAGAGTACCTCACTCAACCAGCACCCTGTGGTCAACACAACCCTCCCCTTGGGTTTCCCCTCTGTACCCTCCTCAGCAGAGGTGACCCCATCTGGGTGAGCACAGTGATTTGCTGTTTTCTGCAGGGTTGGCACCGGCATTTTCACACGGATAAAATAACTGCAAGTGGGGAAATCCAGGAGGCTCAATACTGCAAGGAGTCAGTTTTTCTCACAGGCAGACTCTGCTCGCACTGACGTGCTGCACTTGAGCAGCTCTCAGCCCACAGGTTCACGCTTTCTCAGGCAAGTTCAAAATAAAGATGCAAAATAAAGGGTTTCTGTGGATATGCAGGGCTTGGCTCTGTTTTCTGCCTTGCCTCAAACGTGTGGGCTTTGTCTCGCTCCACAGCCACCCCCCCCCCTCCCCTTCGTGCCGCACGGCTGAGGGCAGCAGGGTCCCCGGGGATGGGGGCTGTCCCATGTCCCCTCCCTGCCGGTGTGCAGCAGTACTGTGCCTGCCAAACTGCTGCTGTGCTGTGGGTAACACGCTCCTCGGTGTCACTCCCAGATGTCCCCAGCGATGGGGAACAAACCGGGCTGTGACCGGGCTGCAGCAGGATAAGGCACAGCCTCGGCGTGCTGCCGTGGCCAGCATGTCCAAGGGCTGCAGGGCAGGCTCCAGGCAGAGCCTTCCCCATGCGAGCAGAGCAGAGGAAGTTTCTCGGGTGCCCGAACGCACGGGGCGGTTGCAAATGGCTTTTGCAGAGCCGGCAGCCTCCCGTTCCCAGCCCCGGCGGATGCGCAGCGGTGGCCGGCTGCCAACTGCCCTCCCATTCCGGGTCTGGGGAAAGCTCCCAAATGCCCTGCCCCAGGACACTCCTTGGCACGGCTGTGCCCTCTGAGCAATGCACAGGTGGGGGTCTCCAGCCAAGACCCTGGTGTCCAAGTATAATCAGGGAATGAGAGGGGAAGAAGGGTGCATATGACGTTGGCTGGGTTCCTTTGGGGAAACACAGCCCAACCTCTCTTCCTTCTGCCTTGGACATCTTGCCAAAATGGTCCCAGCATAACTCCCTGGTTATGTTGGGACCTGGGGGTTCAACAGGCTCAAGGCTGAGGTGCCCAGCTGTGGGAGTTGGAGGGAGGTGGTGGCTCCATTGCTGTATTTCCATCTGCTTTTTTAACCAGTTTTCATATTTCTGCTAGTTTTTCTGTTTCCACCAATATCCAGCAGCTGGTGCTAGTGGATAAAAATAGGATTGATGCTGACACAGGGTTTAGATTTCCTGTGAAAAGAAGGGTATGTTTTATTTCTGCTATTGACTGAAATTTCCACCTCTATGAGAAACCCTGATTCATTTAAAATAGGGGAGAAACCTGACTCCTTTAAAGCCATGATCAGGAAGTGTTTTGTATTCACTACACAGCCCAGGCCTTCCTCAGCAATAGGAGGCAAATTTCATTTCATGTTTTCACAGTTTTCAGTATATCACTACTGTGGAAATGAGGTGGCATGACCGACACTTGAGGAGTCACCAAGCAAAAAAGAACCATTTGGCAACACCCATATGGGACGTGCCAAGGGCTGAGAGGAATATTTTGCTCTGAAGAGCTCATGTTTCCAGTCTGTCAGCGTGCTCTCACAATGCAAACACAGGCACCTGCCAGGACATGAGTGAGATACAGGCTGACCTTGGGCATAACAGAGGGAACACAGCAGGGAAGGTAAGCAGGGACCATGACACTGACCTAAAGCAGAGCAGGGCTATGTGTGTGCATGTTCTGTGCTGATGCACACACAGCCTATGCTCTGATCCCTGCAGCATGCAAGGAAAAAAGAGAGAGGATCTGCAGCAAGGAGGAGGAGGAGGGTGGCAAGAATACCAGGTGCCTCCTGCTCCTCTACTTGATGTAACAAGATCCTTGGATGAAAAGCTCATTATGGGCACTTTTATCATCGCTGCCCTTTAACCCAAGGCATGAGGTCCAGGCTGGGCTTCCTTCCTCTCACAAGCTCAGAGCTGCTCAGTGTGGGAAAGCAATGAAAAATACCGGACCTCAGTCATCATGGGCTGAGACCGTGGAGCAGCCATCCCTAAAACTCCCAGCTCCTGGCTCCCTGCCCTCTCTCCCAGAGCTATCTCCCTTCCTGATACTTGGCCAAGCAAGCCTGACTGATGCAGAGAGCTGTACTGACCGCATCACCCTCAGGCAAACACCAGCTCCAGAGGCTGCTCCCTACTTCACTGGCAACAGCACCATGTATTACTTCCGATGACTCATTCAATACTGATTAGTGCTGGGGCAGGGACCACATGTGACACCAGTGGCATTACTCACCCTGACCTTGAACTGCAAAAAGTGAAACTAAAGTGGGGATGGGCATTACACACTGCAGCCTTGAACTGCAAAAAATGAAACTAAAGTGAGGATGGGGCCCCAAACCTTCCTGATCCCATGCACAGCTCCTGGGCATAAAAGGGTTAGTGATTCCCTGGAGATCCTTGAGGGCTGCCAGCCCCAGGCAGAGGACCAAACTGTGACCTGACACTGTTGGGACCCTGCTGCTGCCTGTCCTGAAACAGACCCCTGGGTGAGTCTCTCCTCCCCAGGTAGAGACACAACATTCAGCTCTGTATCTCGTTTGCCAGCACAAGCACCCTTTGCTTCCCGAGGGGGCTGCAAGCATGGAGCTTCCTTCACCCACAGCCTTGGGGGCTCCCATGCCCCCAAACCCCACACTGGGCTCCACAGCCTGACCTCAGGGTCTGCTAGTGCCTCCCGTGGACCCAGCGGGAGGCACTAGCCAGACCCAGGACCCAGCCCGGATTTAGCAACCCCGCAGCAGGCAGAGCCCTCCCGGTGGCCCCGAGCAGCCGAGGGGACAGGGCTGTTGCAGCACCCTGGCCCCTGCTCCACTTCCTTCAATTGTGCAGCTCCCCATTACGAAAGCAGCGGCGGGGGATGACACCAGCACCGGCTCCCCGCGCTTCCTTATCAGGGAAGCTGCTGCTTCCGCGGTGCTGCGGGCTCGGGTGCGCCTCGTGCCCACCACACACATTTTTCTCAAAGAGCATTTTTGTACCCTTGAAGAGGGGTGAGAGCAGAGCAACAGCCCTGTAAACCCTCAACAAGCCCCTCCGCACAGGCACGGGAAGGGAAGGCAGCACACATTCCCCCACACAGACTGTGATAGTTATCACCCCGGCCTCCTTTGGGCTCCTCCCACAAGGCCCCCAGCCCAAGGTGCAGTCCTCAGCCTTCACCCAGCAGTCCAGCACCTTACCAAAACAAGCGCAGAGGACACAGTCACACACCATTAGTATTTATTTAGACTTTATTAATAAGGAAGCTATTATTTTTCTGATCCAGTAGATGTCCCTGCTTATTGCAGGGGGAACACGACTAGATGACCTTTACAGGTCTCTTCCAGCCCAAACCATTCTACATGACTCTATGAAATGTCCTGAAGTCGGATGAGGAGATTGATCTACAGGCACCACTAAGCTGCACTTCAGGAAAGATACCGTTCACCAGCTCAAAGTGTTTCTGCTCAGCCCTGGGGAGCAACCAGAACCAGTTCACTGCATCATCAGCCAGCACAGCAAGGCTTGGGCACACGAGGACATGGCTTTGAAACCATCCTGTGGCCAGGAAAGCCTTCAAGAGCAAGCATCTCTGCTGCTCGCTGTCCATGCTGCCTCAGCAGTCTGGCTCAAGGTATGCCAGCTCCCTGAGGCCCAGAAGCCTGCAGGAGATGAAAGGCTCAGCCCTTACAGTTGGCAAACAGCACACATGGCTCAGGAAGGACTCCACATTACCTTCTCTAGCCAGGCTGGGAGCTGTGGCCATGGCTCAAAAGCTAGCAGGAACAGGCGACACACAGGGTCTGTCGCAGTGGCAGGCAGGACCACTCCCTGTGAGGGGACTGAAGGTCAGGTCTCACTACCTAGAAATCAGGCAACACTGCAGGATTAAGGGGAAGGGAGGTGGGACAGATGCATGCAGCCACCACACAGAGTAAAGAGGTGCCTGTTCATTTCCACCTGGGCAGGGAAGAAGCAGGCCAGTGGCCTCCACCATGAAGTGCATCCAGTCAAACCAAGCACGGGCGCCTCAGGCCCGATCGCCTTCACCCTCCACATCACAGCCCATCCCCACAAGCCACAAGATACACTCCAGGCTGCAAGTCACATCAGCAGCCATAGTGAAGTTTCCAGAATTTCCTGTCCTGTCTCAGATGGAGCCCTGCTATGGTGTCAGAATGATTCTTCCCTGGTAAACCCTCTGAGGTGCTGCCAATCTGGAGAGTATTCAGAAGAAACTGCTTGGATAGATTATGTTAATGCAGCTCTGTCCCTGCCCCGTGGGGTGCCCAGCATCACCCCAAGGAGGCAGCACTGGTCACATCTCGTTGGCATGGTGCTGCTGGATGAGAACTCTGTCAGGGTGTTCCACCCACTCCTGACCCTTGGCTTTCCACGGCACCAGCACCGCTGCTGGCAAAGGGTCGCTCTGGGGTGGGCCCAGCTCGGAGCCTGCTGCTGCCGGGGGATCAGAAGATGAGTTGCTGTTGAAAGGTATGAGATCGGGGTCAAGTGGTCTCTGCCCCTCTTCCCATGACTGATTGAGATTGCCTGACAGTGAGGAGTCCCCAGGCTCTAGGCTGAAGCCCTCCAGCTCAGTATCCTGCTGCATATCAGGTGCTCCCTGGTTCGGGAACTCGCGGATCTGCCGTGACAGCACTGTAAGACAGGTAGAGCCAGCTCCGTCATTTCCAGCCTCCAATCCTCCAGCTCCAAGCACAGAGCCACCACAAAGCCCAGGAGCGAGGAAAAACTGTTCAACTAGGGCTTCCTCCTCCCAAGGGAGGCGGGGAGAGGATGCTGCACAGCTGTCAGGCACAAGCACAACTTGTGCTCCAAGAGGGACCAGATCTCCCCAGTCCTTGCACCACCCCTGGCCCAGGGCCCTGCTTCCAGGCAGCCCTCTGCAACAGGGCTGAGATACAGTCCACAGCTTGGGTGAGACATGAAAGCCAAACCTAGTGGCTGCCCCAGGCAAGGGGCTGCTGAGTTGTAGGTGCCTCAGAGTTCAGGCCGTCTCTGAGGAACGTGCTGTGACCTGGAGGGCAGCGCTTCACCTGAATCCACACCTCAACCCCCATCCGGGCACTCACCTTTGGGCTCCAGCTGTGGCTCTGTGCTCCCAGATGAGCGGATGCTGGGGGAGAGAATGAGGCAGAAGGACAGAAACACGATCTGGAAACAGAAAGATAAGCACAGATCTCAGATGGATAGGCATCACCGGCTGCAACAAACACCTCTCTCCCAAACTTGTAAGGACATCAGAATCCCCCCTCCTACAACACCGGGGCTGAAACCACTTACCATTGTGCAGGTTTTTCTTCTGATGGTTTTCGGGGTGGATCGTCTCACCAAGGCCTGCAGCTTCCGCAACTGCCTGAGCAGTGACCTGCAGGAGAGCAGGCAGTGCAGGTTAGCACAGCAGTTGAGCCAAGAGCTGCAGGATTTCCCCCCCCTTTGCAGCCAGGGACAGGTCACAGTCCTGAGTAAATGAACAGCCTTCCCCACCACATCTCCTGCCACATCCGACAAGAACTCACATGTTCTGCTTCTGCAGCTGCTGCACCTTCTTCTCCAGTTCATGGTTTTGAGCTGTACAGGCTGCCACCCTTTCCAGGAAGGACGAACAGCATGGGGTAAAACAGAGAGGTCTTGTTAGTTAACAGTAGGGACTTCAACAGAATCTCTCCTCAGGTAATCAGCCACCACTTTCAGGTGGCTGGGACAGACAACACTGGTCCTGGTCTCTACCTCATACCACCTGCAGCAAAGCCCAGAGAGAAGACACCTCATACCAAGTGAAGCCCTGGCCATTCCTAAGAAAAGCACCAGACTAAACTCTAAGGATGCTGCCTCCTAGCAACACATCAGCCCTGGAGATCTGTGACATCAGGCTGTACTGCAAACTAGCCTGACCTGGAAAACACACTGGATCTGGCAGGTCAGACACCTGGCTTGAACAAAGTAAGCTCTGGGCCATATCCAAACATAAGAGAGTCAGGCAGGCTACGTGCTGAGGTTCTGAACCCTCTGCAGAGAGCTGTTGCCCCACAGGGTCAGCCTCACTTTCTGCCCAGGGTGGCAAGAGCCCAGCAGCAGAACAGCACAGTGGCTTGTGACGGGGTTCCCCTGCTCCTGGCCCTGGTAATGTGGTCAGCACAACTAAGGCCATGTACAAGGGGAGCAACTTTCTCTGACCAAGCAGGTCAAGTATTTGTTCCCATCCCATCGTTATCAGGCCCTGAAGGTCCTGTGCACCAAGTACCAAACCAAATAGATTTCTTCTTTTTCTGTCTGCCAACCTCAAGGTTCTCGGGCACTAGGCCTGTTACTCCCTTCCCTCATCAGCCTTGAAGATCCCAGGCACCCAGCCAGTCCTGTCACAGAGCAGAGAAGCACAACAGCACAGAGTGCACTGTCCACAAAATCAAGCAATTGCAACTTCTAAGGGGGAACTGGGACTGGAGCTGCTGCTGGACAGCAAGACTCAGGATCCCTCTGGGCAGGGACACCTCCACCATAGCTTGTTTCCTCCCAAGACTAAGAGAGTGACTCATATTCTTTGATATCATTTTTGAGTCTATGTTATGATCATTATATTGATACAGAAAACCACATATTTAGATTTGACCCGATCTGCAGAGGGTGCGGGTGATTAGAAAACTTGCATTAGAATATAGGTGACTAGAAACTGTAAGTTAAGTTGTACAATAAACCCTGTATTACAATGCTTATAGACTGACCACATTGATTCTGCTTGTACAAAACCTGTGCCATCCTAAACCACAAACTCTGTGCTGTGCCACACATAACATAGCAAGAAATCAGATTTCAAAAAGAATGTAATTGAAACCATGATTTAGTGCCATCATCGTTCTGCCAAGGATCCCTAAAAGAGCCTATGTATCCCCTCAGTGTTGAATGACACTGCTGTGTGCCCATACTTGTTTTCCAGGCCATCCACATAGATCTTCCTCCTGCGACGACTGTCCTGAGCTGACTGCTTGTTCCGGATCTTACGACGCACTTTTCTCAGAATTCGCTCTTCAGCCTGCAAGGGTCATTTCTTGTTAACAGCAACCCCAGGGTGCAGGCAATCACCGCCACCCAACCCCCCCTCACATCTCAGGGTTGAACCTGAATACTTGTGTCTTCTGTCCCTCCCACACCACCGAATGAACTGCAAGGCAAACTCTGGCCTGCTGATGTGGTCAGCAGCTTCCAAGGTGTAGCAAAAGGGAAGCAGACCAAAGGGAAATGAAAAACATGTAGCTCACAAGCCACTAGTCAGAAAAAACACAGGGCTGGAGGTATTTGTGGTGTATCTGCCTCCTGCAAGCAGTCATGAGTGTGGAGAGTCACAGCAGCCAGGTTTCATTGGTCTTTTATCCACCTGACTAGCAAAGCAGAAGTTGCTGTGCACATGGACACCCCCGGACTTGAAAGGAGGAAAAGGACACCCAGCCCTGATGGACACTACCCTGAACACAGCACCCGGACACCAATATTCTCATCAAGGCACTGTCCTGTGTTCTCAAACCCCCTGCACTAGCTGACATACTCAAGTGACCCAAGTCTGACTCTAGCAAGGACTCACTTTGGTCAGCGGCAGACACGTTGGTAATGTAACGCCTTCTTTCTCCAGAAGCTGCTTTTCCTCCTCTGTCAGGACCAGCTCTGGGAAATCAGACTAGAAAACAGCAAAAATACACATGCTGAGAATGCAAAGTAAAGGGCAGGGAGGGCATGCAGCAAACACACAGAACTGGGATCAGCTCTCCCAAAGCAGCATCATGATTTCCCTCAGAGATATGCCTCACAGGAGCCAAGCCAGAAGACAAGGGATGTGAGCAAAAGCAAAGGCTGGAGACTGCAGTCAGTACCTGCACGATGGCTCCAGGCACAAGCTGAGGTTCAGAATCCACATCAACAGCAATGGGGGAACCAGAGCTCTGTTCCAGTGCCTTGCTTGTGCCGTCCAAACCCACCCATGTTCCTGGGGAAGGAAAGGAGAATCAGGTACTGGGCCTTAGTGAAGCAGCACCTAATTAACCAGTTTTGGGTAGCACAAACCCACAATTTTATGGTAACAGAAAGCCTCTGAACTTGGCTCTCTCCATCACTGCCAGGTACCCACCCAAAAAAATCTCCACGTGGGACTACTTTTCAGCCTGTATCCAGGACAGAAAGAGACTACACACATCACTCACCCAGCTCAATAGTAACATCTCCTTCTGCCACGTCAGACCTCACGCTTTCCAGCACAGGCCAATGGAGAGAATAGTTGTGATCAACCTGCACAATGTCTCTGCTGGCAAAACTGCTGCCAGGGAAAGGGGACAGACGCTGATCCTCAGAAATGCTGCTGTCACTGCTGGCAGGCAAATAATCGAGCATGCCTGGTTCATCTTCTAAGGGGCTCAGCAGTGAGCTGATGAAGTCATCCATCTCCTTGTCCAGGAGCTGCAGAGGAACAGCTTTTACTCAGCAAGGATACAAACCTCCTGAACCTCAACTCAGCAGTGATTTCTCCCAGAGAACTCACCTCAGGCGTTGGCAGGACCCAGTCTTCCAGGAGACCATTCTGCTCCTCTGGGATTTCAGGGCAGGAAGCATCATCGTTCAGGAGAAAGTCAAGCAGATCCACGTCTGCCAGGGCATCCAGTCCCTCTGGACATGACATCTGAGCAGGACACCCAATGTGAGCACAGACACAAGGAGAGACACCAGCACTGCTTCGAGGTGCCCCTCAGTCCCTACAGACAGAGTCTCCTCATGCAATGTCAACAGCTGTCAGGGCCCTGCAGTGATGACCTGTCCACAAGTACTTCCTCAACAGGCTCTCAACTGGTGGTCCCTACATGCCAGTTTCCCCACTGAGCTGCTGGGACCCAGCCATAGGAGCCATGTTCCACCCAGAACAAAAAACCTGCAGGAAGGAGAGGAAAAGCTAAACAGCCCCAGACTTTCTGGCATGGAAAGCATGCAAGATCCTGCTATTCCACAGAGGCCGAAAAGTGCCAAATACCACACCGTGTAGCCAACAGGGACAGCCTCCTGTCACAGGGAATTATGCTGAGGGGTTAACTAAAGGGACTTTGCTAATAATTAATGATAATCAAATTCTAAGTAATCAATGATTGAGAGAAATTAAACAGTAATCAGATGGTGATTAAGCAATCACTGAAAAATAATTAATGACTGATATACAAAGACTTGAATGACGATTTAGTAATTCAGGCAGCTGTCAAACACTCCGCTATTTAACACACTTGTAATAATTAACGAATAGTTGGATATATATAAACGTTACACGATATACTTTTAGGCTGAAAGTATAATGCTCCTTACCTTGTTGAAGAGGTCAGACGCTGATAAAGGGTCTTTCAGCCCTGAGGAGTAATTTGGAGAGGTGTCCCTGCTCACAGGGAGATCAGCAGCAGAGCTCAGGGGGCTCAGGGAGCCACAGAAGCTGACAAGACAGAACGATGGACTTGCAGTCAAACCCTGCCTTGGTGTCTGTGCACGTGTGCGGCTGCAGCAACTTCAGCTGTCTGGTCCCAGCTCAGGCTGCTGCTGTTATCTCTGGATCAGACACAGCCCAGGTGCCTCGGTCCCTGAGAAGATGCAGCCTGGCATGGCTGTCACAGAGGGCATGGCTGGGCCAGGATCAGTTGGGCCGGGATCAGCCCGGCCGGCTCGCCTGAGCCAAAGCTCTGCTCATGCCGTCGAAGTGTGGGCATGCACTGCATGTCTCCATTAGCACCGCTAAGGCTTTCACATCTAGGTGTCAGGCGTCACAGCCTAAAAAACAAAACCAGAAAAAATATAATATCACCAAAACCACCTGGAACCCCACCCAAAACCAGAAAGCCAGGGCAGTCCCCAGCCACAGGGCTGCTGTGACGGCTGCCTCTGAGCAGGGCTGCAGGCAGAAAGTGGAGCAGCAAAAGGAAGGGGAGCTAGGCAGAGCCAGGAATGGCAGTGCCAGGGCCCAGGGCTTCCAAAGACGTGGAGGGGTTTCTCCGCAGGAAGTGTGCGCCAGGCAGGCAGCATGGGCAGGACAAGAACAATGGGATAAGAAGCAGGTTGCATCAGACGGGACGGTGATTGGAGCGCAGGGGCCATTCCCCTCGCCTGGAGACCCACTCTAGGGAAGACAACTTCTCACAGCCCCGGCCGTGCGGCGAGACCCCAGACTCCGAGCCCCCCGAACCGCTATCCCCCAGCTCCCCTCACCCCCGAACCCTTGAGCCTCGGACCCCAAACTCCTGAGCCAGGGAGCCCAAAACCCCTGAGCCCCGGACCATGGAACCCCTGACCACCCGACTAGATCCCACACTCCGGAACCGTGAGTGAGCCGTGACCCCAGACCCCCGCACACCACAGCCCATGACCTGGGACCACGGGCTCCTGACCTCCAGATTCCGGACCTCCTGAACCACCCCCCGGGACTCGTGACCCCCAGACCGCTGCGCCCCCGGCCCCTTGCCCGCAGGGCTCCGGACTCCGGGCTCCCGGCTATCCCCCCCACCTTCCCCCCGAGTGCCGACCCCAGTCCCTCCCGGCCCTCACCGCGGCGCCGCCGCTTCCAACGCACCGGCGATGACGTCACTCTCCTCCCGGCGGGCCGCGCGCGCGCGCCGGCGCCGTCCGGCCGCGCTAACGTCGCGCGCGCCCATTGGTCGGGTGGGGTGGGGGCAAGGGGGGGGG